CACTGATGCTAGCTTCCAGACAGATAAGGATGATTTTAGATCACAATCTGGTTATGTGTTCTGTCTCAATGGTGGCGCTGTGAGCTGGAAAAGTTCAAAGCAAGAAACAGTTGCTGATTCTACAACTGAGGCCGAGTATATTGCTGCCTCAAATGCAGCAAAGGAAGCTGTTTGGATCAAGAAGTTCATTAGTGAACTTGGCATAGTCCCTAGCATTGTGGATCCCATTGGTTTATATTGTGATAACAATGGTGCTATCGCACAAGCTAAGGAGCCTAGATCTCACCAACGATCCAAACACATACTTAGGCGTTATCACCTCATTCGAGAGATAATCGATCGGGGAGATGTGAAGATATGCAGAGTACCTACACTTGACAATATCGCTGACCCATTAACAAAGCCTCTTGCGCAACAGAAGCATGATGGTCATACTAGATCTATGGGTATTAAGGGTATGCCTAATTGGCTCTAGTGCTAGTGGGAGATTGTTGGTGTAAGCCCTAGAGGCCAATACTTTTTGGTACTTGTATCGGATTATTCGTTTAATAATAAAAGGCATTTCTTTATTATGTTTGTCTTTCAGAATAATAAAGTCCCTAGAATAGTTAGTTTATTTAATGAAATGTTAAGTGTGACTTAATCATGAGATCCCATTAAACATAAAGACATTATTCTTAAAATATCCGTAGTCAAGCTTTATTGCAAAGTGGGATAACATTAAAAGCATTGAGACTATTATGAAGATAGATTGATGATCACATCTCATGGATCATGGATAAAGAGTTATCAAGTCTTGACATAGGTATAAATATTAGGAGTAATATTTATACCGGATTGACCCGCTATGAGAATACTACATAGTATGTTATGCAAAGTGTCATAAGTTATTCTCATGGTGATAATGGTGTATTACCACCCTTCGACCTGAAACCACTATGGACCCTAGATGTAGAGTCGGGTGCTTTATTGCTGATCAAACATTATCCGTAACTGGATGATCATAAAGACAGTTGATGGGTACTCCACGAAGCATGCTGAGGGACATGAGTGTCCTAGATGGAATTTGCCAATCCTGCATAACAGGAGAAATGTCTAAGGGCCCAATATTGAACTGGACAAGGATGACACAGTGTATGCCTTGTGTTCAATATAGACATAGGGGCAAAAGGGTAATTGTACAAACATATATTATCACGAAAAAGGTTTTGTCAGATCACATGACATTTTCGTGACTTGGGTAGCAGTGATGTGTTGCTAGATACCGCTTACTGTTTATTATGTTAAATATATAATTTAATATAATTACCAACGTTACGAAATCCTACAGGGTCACACACATAAGGACAGTTTGATGAGAGATAGAGAAATCAAAGGAACACCGTAAGGTACGGTGCACTTAAGTGAAAAATAGAAATTCGGATAATATAATAATAATTATTGTTATTTTATAATGGTTATAAAATAATAATAAAATAAATATATTTATTATAATAATAGTTATTATAATAATAGTTATTATAATAATATATAATATTATTATGGATCATGTGAATTGGGTTTTTAGCCCGCAACCCACAAGAGAGTCTATAAAAGGAACCCTTGTGATGAAGCTTTCACTTGATGCAATTTCGTTTTTGATTCTCTTTTCTCACTCAAATAATTCCGTTCGTAAGCAGCTAGCACTGTGACCGGAAGCTGTTCGTGTGGACTGAGTAGAGGCGTTGCACTTCATCAACGCTTGTGATCGCTGCATCAAAGATCTGAATCGCCACAAAGAGGTAACGATTCTATCACTGACCATGCTCATTCGTAAGGATCACTAAAGGAAATTTTTGTTTTCCGCTGCGTTTAGATCGCAATTTTCCTTCATTCATCCGTTTAGCAGCTGACTTTAATTTCAGTACAATATGTCTTGCATTATCTTTCTATCCATATATCAATGTTCATATATTTTTGTTCATGTTGTCATTGTTCATATTCATCTTGTCATTTTCATCTTATTCAAAAAACACAAAAAGATGTTAAAATTATCGAAACCCAAAAAAAAATTTTAAGTGGTGGACTGTGGTTAATAGCTTTGCATCAGGGATTCGAGACACTGGACAGAAACCCTAGTAAAGAAGCTGCATATTATGGTTATCTCTTTTCTCTATCTCTTTAGATTAGGACACTTGCACACATACGGCTTCCTCTTGGGCTACCTGACAATGAAACCTTTTATTTCTCGCAATCCCGTATACTTTATATGTACCCCGCTCTCGTTTCGATGTATGTTCTTTACTTGCTTATCTTTGGTTGTGGTTTTCTTACTAATAGTACCCTTATGGATTTGCATAACCTAAACCATTTTCAAAATAAATTCTCGATTCAATGTCGAGCCATTTTTCACCTTGTAAGTCGATTGCTTTTTAAGCATCACCATCAACCTCTTGGTCACCATACACAACATTCAAAGCTTACTCCTGGACTTTCTTACAGTGAGACCTATTCGATCAATTACTTTTAGTTGGTCGTTTAGAAGACTAGCCCACTTTGCTAGTGCACACGATTAAAATTCAATTAAATTTCTTTCCTTTACTTGTTTATTTATATGTTGTCTTGTATAATGATTCGAATTGAAACCCTAAGGTTCAAACCATTAACTTTTTCGTACACAAATTTAACACTCGATCAACATCGAACATTTTCTCAAATTCAAATCAATTAACTTTACTATACTTAGACCATATTTCAATAAAATATGAAAAGGGAGTAGGAATTGAGTCTTCGATTTCTCTTCTTAATTGTGTGGGCCCGATGAGCCTTTCTTCTGCTCGAAAATATTTCAATCAGAGGATGGCTCTTCTAGTTTTTTTCTTGATGATGAGTCTATAAGGATATGGAATGTTGAGACTTTTTCCTCAAAAATTATTCTTCTTCATATTCCTTTCTAGATGAGGTTTCCCCATTTGATATTAAATCTTCTGAGGATCATTAAACCACCGAGACAACTCTTTCGAAGGGGATTACTGGAGTTGTATCAACTCATTTAATTTCTTGATAATTTCTTCTTTCTTAGATTTTTCCTAAAAATCGTGAACGCTTACATATTTTGATTTGAGGATTAGACCAGGGTTGTGATTCCAATTCTTAATCCTTAGATATTTGTTAGCGACAATAGTTCTAACATTATTTTCTAAATTTTTAAAGGTTGAAGAACATTTAGGAAGGAATAATTTACATTTATCTTCTTTGCATCGTGTGTTCATTCTCTTTCGTTGGATAATTGAAGAAACTAAGATCATTTCAAGTGTGTCCCACATTTCGTTGGCCGAATTACAATTTAGCACATAGAAAAGTTGAGTTTCATTTAATGACATAACTAAAAAAATTTAGTTTTAAAGTCAATTTCAAACTTTCTCTTTTCCTATACGGTCCAAAGAAAATCTAGTTTATCCGTTACTTCACCATTTATGCAATGAGTAGGGATAATCGAATCATTGATTATTGTTTTCCACAATTCAAGATCAAAATTTTGGATGAATATTTTAAATTTAGGTTTACATAGCTCAAACTTATCACCATTAAATGGTGGATGTTTGTTTAACAAAGTCCACTTGATAATAAAAGTGTTGAAAGTCATCTTCCTCCCGAGACGATTAGTCTTTAAATAGGAGTTAGGTTCTAATGTCACTTATTGAACATGTGACACTCCAGACACAAGATATGGTGGGTAAATTATGGAGGTTTAAAAATAGTAGTTTATTTAAACAAAATCGTTTTTGGAACCAAAGTTTAAAAATATTTTATCAAAAATGTTTGAATAAGTATGCAACAAAAGTTCAAAGTAAAGAAATTAAGTAGAAAATAAAAGAGATAATGGAGAAGAGATGACATTGGAGATTTATAGAGATTAGATCTAATAAAGTGACATACTCCTCTGTCCAAAGAATTGATTTTGATAATATTCACTGTATCTTGATAGTTTTTAGAAGGTTAAGCCCACAAATCCCATTATACAAGGAAATGAACTTTTCAAGTTAACTTCTTACCAAACAAGGAACAGAACTTAAAGCGGTTAGTCTACAAACCAAACAATGAAAATAACTTGAAGCATTTATTCTCTAAACCAAACAACGAACAGATCTTAAAGCGTTTACTCTCAAAAATCAAACACTAAATAGAGCTTGAAGCGGTTAGTTTCCAAACCAATCAACGAACAAACTTTAAGAAGTTAGTCTTCACACCAAACAAAGATTTTACATGGGTGATCTTGAACCAAATCAGAGTTTTGAATTGGTGATGACAGTCGTCATTACGTAATTTTTATGAAAAAATTCAGATGAATTTAAAAGAATATTTACCAAATGCAAAGTTATAGTGTGAGAAATAAACAAAAATTCAAAACATGGAAGAATTAAGTACTTAGTGAAATTTGTGAATAAAAAATAAAGAAAACAAAAGATTTGCTTCTGAAATTCTCGCATCCACGATAATTTTTTCATGGCACTATAAGACTTGAATCGCGACGCAATACTGACTTATTGCGGTGCGATCACACGCTTTTGGCTGACACAATTTTTTATTTAAAAGTTTGTTCGACTACTTTTATAACGTTCTGAATTTAAAAGAAAAAATGACAGCTAAATATATTCAACGAGCAATTTTAAAACACATTAGAGTCATTGAAATATTATTTAACATCAACCAGCAATAAAATTCATAAATATTTTCCGTGCATCGCACCCGGATGCAACAATTATTATATTAACTTGTTATTTTGGTGAATATAAAAAACTAGAAGTAGTGCTCGTGAGACGCATGGTTACTTTATTACTCAAAAATTCCCAAAGCTTAAAAGGCTTTTGTTGACGAAATAACTTAACACGTGTGTGAAACATTTGTCACATGCTTGTTCCAAATAAAAGGGTGCTTCACTTCATCACTGGTATTATATATAGAAGCATAGAGTTAACCAACAAAATCACAAACAAAAAAACATCCTTAATCACATCACAATGAAACCTCTTTCACCACTCACCCTTTCCTTCCTCCTCTTTGTTTTCATCACCAATCTTTCACTAGCTTTCTCAAATGAAGATGTTGAGCAAGTGTTGGACGTTAATGGCAACCCCATTTTCCCCGGTGGCCAGTACTACATCCGGCCAGCAATCCGTGGCCCTCCCGGCGGAGGAGTAAGACTTGGAAGAACAGGTGATTTATCCTGTCCAGTCACCGTCCTACAAGACCGCCGAGAAGTTAAAAACGGTCTACGAGTGAAATTCGTCATACCAGGAATTTCTCCTGGTATAATTTTCACTGGTACACCAATTGAGATAGAGTATACAAGGAAGCCTAGTTGTGCAAAATCATCAAAATGGTTAGTATTTGTTGACAATGTTATTCAGAAGGCTTGTGTTGGTATTGGTGGTCCTGAGAATTACCCTGGTGTGCAAACATTGAGTGGATTATTTAAGATTGAGAAGCATGAATCTGGATTTGGTTATAAACTTGGATTTTGTATTAAGGGTTCTCCTACTTGTTTGGATATTGGGAGGTTTGATAATGATGAAGCTGGAAGAAGGTTGAATTTAACTGAGCATGAGGCTTTTCAAGTTGAGTTTGTTGAAGCTGAAGCTAATGATGCTGAGTTTATTAAGTCTGTTGTTTGAATTTTAGTTTAATAATTAAGCTAGATTGTGTGAGTTTTAATTCTTGCACAGTTTTAAGCATATAATAAACTGGGAAATATTTGTGTTGAATGTTTTCTCTCTTCTATTATTGTTTTCTCTCTTTCTCTATATCATTATCTCTCTCTCTTGTTGTGCAAAATCATTCAAGATAAGTTTTGTTATTTAAACTTATCTTGTTTTGTTTAATCTATGATTCTACATATTATAATTAATTCAATGAAATACTCGATGTAAAACTTACTCGATGGGATCTTCAACATATTTTAAAAATATATTAGGAATTAATATTACTATGTAATATAATTACTAGTAGATTGTTTTTTTTTTTACTATTTTGTTATTTTCTTGTTCTCTTTTCTTAGTAGGTTTTGTGCTCAAGTGATTGAATAATGAATTTGACTTTGTTATTTAAATAATAAAAGTTTATTTCATAAAATATAATTGAAATTAAAAATAAACAGGATTGATAATTTCATATGTATTAATTGAGTTAAATAAATTTAAATTGTTAATTTAGAGTTCAATTTTTGTCGAAAATGTGTATTTATAATTATATATTGATTAAATAAATAATTGATATTTATAAATTTATAACTTGAAAAAAATTATAAATAAAAAAAATATAATTAATTGAATTGAATAAATGTTTAATTAATTTATGATAAAAAATATAATTAATTTATGATAAAATTATAATAATGTATGATTAAAAAAATATAATAAATTTACTTAGTTAAGTTTATTATAAGTTAAATTATAAAAATGAATTATTCAGCTTTTTAAATGAACGAAATATATTTTTATCACGGGTAGTTAAATGGTTTTGTCTTTTTCTTTTTAATAAAAAATGGTTTTGTCATTATTAGTAATAAAGAAAAGAGTGGTTTTGTGATTAATTGTTTCGAGACAAAAAATGTAGACCGAATCATCGAACATAGGTATCCTGCCATAGGTACCAACCCTATCTTGAAAGTGATTCCCATAAAAATAAGAGAAAATGGTTTAGGCAGTTTTGGGTTGCAGGGTAACAACAGTATTGTACTTTGCCCACGAGAAGCTCGTGGATAAGGTTTTGGTATATTTTTTTTATTAATCAGGTGTAGGTTTTGGTATATTTTTTTATTAATCAGGTGTAGGTTTTGGTATTTTTTATTTTAATTAAAAAAATAGATATAATTTTTTATTAGGTGTGATTTTTATTCTTTTTCAATGGAATAATACAAAATGCATATATGTCTTTTATTTTCACTCCTTAAATTATATTTAAATACACATGTTATATATTCATTGAAAAATAGTAAAAAGTACACGTAAAGAATTGTAGGTAATTTTCTCTTTAAAAAAATTAGAAAAAAAAGTGAACAGAAACGGTCGGTTTTACATGGGCTTATAGATTGAACGGGTGAAATAAGTGGTTTGGGATTGATATAATGGGCGGGTTTGGGTACACAAACTTGAACTGCAGGTAACTAACTCGCCCGTGTAAGTTGATATGCAAAATTGGCTTTGTCCATACATTTAATAGGTGTTCCACATGTTCTTCTTCTGTTTTAAAACTCAAAATAAAACATTGGAATAGGTTCATTTGAATTGTCTTCAGTAATGACACTGATTTCTGGTGGAGTTGAACCACTAGTGTCTTCTTCCCATGCAGAGTTATCATAAGAGGACTCTTCTATTGTATCTTCAATAATACTTTCATTTTCAGGAGAATCTCCCCATCCAATGGGCTGGATGTCTTTAATTATGATACGAGAGCTTTCAGGAGCAATGTACTTCACCAGAAAGTAGTATTTACCGCTTGGCTGTCCTAAAGTATCACAAGTTTTTGAAAGGATAGATGAACCATCTTCTTCGATGACATTGACTTCAGAAAATGCAAAGTTGATGAACTCTTGCCTAGCAATTCTTGCAACTTCATCAACATGATGTTTGACATTTTCATAATTTTCTTGATAAAGATTCCATGATTCTATGAGAGCAGGTGGATTTTCCTCAAGGTCATTCAGCAAATATGCATTCTCTGACTGACTCTTATACTTGGATCTTCCATGTAAGGTTCCCAAATGGGCAAATCATCCATGAGATCAAATGAGTTGTAATTGAAGTTGTCTTTCATCAGAGTATCTTCTTCCAATGAGTTGGGAGGAGCACGACATCCTTCAGGATCGTAATCTCTATAGATCATTCTGACATCTGATCTTGGTATATATCTATTACTTTGCTTCGAAGAGCAAAATGGCATGTATGTTTCATCCTGAAATATATATCCTTCTTTGTTGAAATAGGATTTCCATTCTTCATCTGTATCAGATGGATCATTTTCCTCGATGGTGTGGACTTCTTGAGATATTGGATGGAGGAAGCCTCCACTGTGGAAGAAATCTTGAATATGTCGAGTGCCTTCATTCTTCTCTATAACCTTGGTAAATGTTGGAGAAAAACCGAGACCTTTTCTTGTTTTATTATCAATAGGAATCACAACTTGCCCTTATCCTTTTATGTTACTGCTTCTTAATACTTGGAAGGCATCTTTGTACGAGGAAATCGACGTTCCTTTTTCTTGATGATGCTCATTGCTCACAAAGAGTGCTTGAAATTGAGTTCCAATGACCTCCTCTAGTTCTAAATATGAGAATGATGATAGCTTGCTCACGATTAGAGCTTGTTCTCCATATACTGTGATCAACTTGTCGCTCTTGACAAACTTCAGATTTTGGTGAAGTGTCGAAGTGACTACCCCTACTTCATGTATCCAAGGTCGTCCCAATAAACAGCTGTATGTTGCTCAGATGTCCATGACTTGGAAGGTGACTTGAAAAGTGTGGGGACCAATGGTTATGGGAAGGTCGACTTCGCCAATAACTGTCTTTTTGGATCTGCCAAAAGCTTTGACTATGATCTCACTACCTCTCATGGGGGCGCCTTGAAAAGATAATCATGCCATAGTTGATTTTGACATGACGTTCAAGAATGAACTTATGTCTATGAGTACGCTAGGTAAAGCATGATCTCCATAATTGATTGTAATATTGAGTGCCATGCTATGATTCTTGCCTTCCTCTGGAAGTTCTTCATCACTAAAACCCAAATTGTTGCAGGAAGTGATGTTGGAAATGATGGTGTCAAACTGACCTACTATCACATCTTATTCTACATAGGCTTGTTACAAGACTTTCTGTAGAGCTTCTCAGTGAGCTTCTGAACTGAGCAGGAAAGATAACACTGATATCCGAGAAGGATTTGTAATAGTTGATCCACATGTTGTATTCACTTCTCTGGATGAGTTTCAACATTTCATTGTTATTTTTCACAGGCTTTGTGCTGCTGGATTGACCGATTTTTTGACTAGGAAATTCAGCTTGAGGTTCCTTTTCTTTTGCAAGTTCTCCAACTCCTCTATTGAAAATTCGGCTACTTCGGGTGACTCGACTGATATCAGCAATGTTGACAACGGATGACAGTGGAATTTCCTTTTCATCTTCTGTTATGGTTGCACCGTATTTGTACGAAATAGCTTTCTCTGACTCATATGGCATTGGGCCCGACAAGTAGATGACCAAAGGGGTTATCTGGGTCTTTCTACTATCATAAGTAACCTCAATTGGTTCCAGCTTGGGGATGTTGGAAATTTTCCCACTGTCGAACATGATCTCCAAGCGTTTTGGCTCATTGAGCAGAGGAATTATGGTGAAAACATCCTCACCAATTCCATAATTAACAGACTCTCTTTCATTGAGAGTTGTGATGGTTCTTTTGTCCAACAATTCTTGAATCTCATTCCGGATAAGGAGGCAACCCTGTCGGCTTCTGCAGCATTCTTTTCAAGTTGAGTGATCATGGTGGTTCGAACCAAAGTAATCAAGTTCGCACAAGCATTTGTGAAATTTGACCAATGATGTTTCAATGTTTTTAATGTCATAAACTACATATTGTCCTGGGTAATCTTGCGCCATGTTGATTGAGTGAGAATTTAGGCCTAACTGGGTTTTCCCTTGGTCCACTTGCTCTTGGAGAGCTGCTCGCACGAGGTAGCACCCTTGGCTATTTTCTGAACATACTCAGCATCATTCATAATTGTGAGGTGGTACACGACCGTACCCGCTCTGTATGTAGTGCATCTTGACCAGATCCGTTTCCAGCAAGCGAATGTTGCATCTTTGGTATATGTCTGGATTTCCATTGGTTATGCTGACTTAATGTGTGCTTTCATCCTAGTAGATTGGAAGCCACCAATGGTACAAAAGATGTTGAAGAGTTCTTTGTACAAGCGCACAACCTTGATCATTTTCGGAGCAAACCTTGCAGTCTTGATAATTATGCAAGGACAGAAAACCGAGTCTGACTTGCTTGACATATAATTCTACCACCTGGTACCTCATGAATGAATAGTGAGACGTATTTATAGGCTCAGAAATATGAAATATCCTACGTGTGAGTAAGAGTGGGAATAGGCCAGGCCAACTAACATGGGCCTGCGGTCTAGCCTACATAGGCTCAGACCAGGCCAGGCTTTTTTAAAAATAGAAAAGGCATAGGTTTTTTGTATAAGCCTATTTAACTAAAGAGGCTAGGCCACAGGCGGTAAGAAAGGCCTTTTAAGCCTATCAGGCTGACTATTTATAAAACATTCAATAAATTTATTATTATCATACTGTATTTTGTACTTTGAATTAAAATACAATAATAAAGCTTAGTTATTTTGAAAAATTTATGAAAATAAGTTGAAAAAACATTATAAACAATGTTATAAGTTGTTGTCATAAGTTTTTTTCCATAAGTTCTCTCCAACAAATAGTATCACCAAACTTATGCGAATAGGTAAACTTGAATAACACAATGAAAACAAACATTTAGTTTCAATGATCTTTTAATTTGTTAGTCTATTTAACATTAGTTGAATTTCTTATTTACAAACGTTCAAATGAAGTAGGCTTTTAAGTAGGATAGTAGGCCAATCAGGCCTTCGAAAAAGTCAT